TTTATTACGATTAAGTCTAGATTTAATCAAATCTATTGCAATAAGTCCGGAACGTCCTCTATCGGTCAAATTATATAAACGTTTTAAACATATTCAATATAAAGGCTTAAATGTCGACTAAAAATAAACGTTGGATCGGCGTCGACGCACACAAAAAACACTACATTTTGAAATTATAATATTTGTCCTGACACCGCTATATCGCCGCGGTGCCAGACAGACTGCTCATAAAAGTCTTAAACCTTGTAACGCGTTCACACAGAACAAATAATTATACGATTATTTTTTCTGTAGTCTAATTAAGTAGCCCGTAGATTACTGTAAAGGTTCGTAAAGAGGATTGTTAATTATGTTTGAACGTTTAAATGTATGTAACCAAATATTTTATTGCATAGACCAATGAGCGAGGTCATCATGGCCGCCGCACCGATCGCATTAGTTACCAGAACTTATAGACATTACAACGTGTAATGCCGTCACCCACCTTGAGACACAACATGAGGTCGAATTCTCAATTAGGTATATTATATAAAGATGTCCCATCATGCATTACGGTGATAGGCTTTGCGGTAGATATGAGCTGAATAGTGGTATTTACAAGTGCGGATTTATAATAACACCCTCCTCCTCTTTGCCTCGATAATCCTCAGTTTTGAGGGACGTGGCCTTCTTTAATAACATTCTCCTGGTCTATTCTTCGCCAACCCTGCCTATCCTCAGCTGCGCGGATGGTATCGTGGACAGAGGAGTTGAGAATAGAGCATATCTGGTCAGACCGGCGTATTGGATTACTGCCTCTGGGCAGAATACATAATACACCCTCTACCCTACCCTGAATTAACATGATTTTTATTGCACAATGTTACTCTTTCATCGTGGACGTTTTTCGTGAAAGCAGTTTGTTAAGTACGCATTTCCTCGAAAAACAAAATGATACATTAATCTATAAACCACGACGACCTCTAAAATTGCATAGGTAGATATGTAGTAGGTAGGTAATTACAATGATATATAATGAACAATCATTTACGTGAATATGCACTCACTTGCAGCTGATGAAGATTTTCTCATCAAGATTCATACCAAGAAAAAGCGGGGAGTTAATATTTAATAACCTTTTTTTTTTATTGCTTACATGGGTGGACGAGCTCACAGCCCACCTGGTGTTAAGTGGTTACTGGTGCCCATAGACATCCACAACGTAAATGCGCCACCCACCTTGAAATATAAGTTCTAAGGTCTCAAGTATAGTTACAACGGCTGCCCCACTCTTCAAACCGAAACGCATTACTGCTTCACGGCAGAAATAAGTTGGGTGGTGGTGGTACCTACCCGTGCGGACTCACAAGGGGTCCTACCACCAGTAACCTTAAAATTCGGTGAAGGAAAGACCTTCGTAAAGTCAAAAACAGTCAAAGTAGCTTTTAAAACTTTTGACGAAACATTCCGAAGTATGACATAGTAACTATATTTACTATATTGATGTGTTGTAAACGATGTAAAAAATATTTTTATAAAAATACTTGAGCTATAAAAGTTTCCAACCAAGTCATTTCTAGAATCTGACAAGATGAAATAGAACCCGCGCCTGTATTCGTTGAATGCATAATATATTCGTACCATGTCCCTGATATTTGACGCTGAATAAACAAAATCTCATAATATTATACTACCTTCATTTGAAAGCTGTATTTAAATAAACGGACCCAACAAAATACAATTACGAATTCGAGCCAGCGAAAAACAATTTCAGGGGAAGTGTGAATTAATATCTCGTGCAGTGGAAAAAAACAAATTATATTATTTTTTCGTTAGAGTTAATTTAAAGGAATTGTTTCAAGAATTACTAGCATTCACATCTGTCTTTGTTTTGAGAAACGATTCTCTATCGTCATTATCTTATTTATAGTAGTTGTCTAATCAAAATCTGCTAAGTGCACTTTTTCGACATTTGACTCTTAAATAGTTTATTAAACTAATTTTCGTATAAAAATAACAAAGTGCATATTAAGTAGATTGAAATTTCGTATAAAGGAGTAATTGATTTGACAGGTGTATTATCTATGTTTGACAACGACGCTACGCCATTACTTAATGCTTATAAAAAAAACATAGTAGGTTTAGGAGTCGCGTTTCTCGTACGCAGGTTCGAGGCAAGTATTAGTATTATCATTTATCGTAATGGCTGTGTAACTTCACCAGTGTGCTTAGTGCGAATATTTTAACGTTATCGATAGCGTAAAAATTCTCAAATTTGTATGCAGAACAACGTCCCTAGCGGCAAACGTAGGCAAACGTTCCAACTCCATACAAATTTTAGTTAACTTTTACGCTATCGAGAACGTTAAAAAACTCTCACTCAGCACACCGGAATAGCTAGGGTTGTCGCACTTACCCGGGCAAGTTCACAATACGATTTACCATATGTTAAAAGTACTTAAAATATGCAGGTGTTTAAAGTATAAAACCGTGCAGTTTGCTAGTACTGCACCCTATAAAAAGGGCGACGCCTGTTAATGATAGCTTAAAACATAATGTAGTTTAAATACTAAAAAACACGCTGAAATAAAAAAAACTGAATATTACACAATTTTATTTTCACCTTTTTTATCATATTGATACTGGTCAAGATATTAGAGCGAAGTTTTAAATTATTGTAGGGTCGTCGGTCCTTACTGCGAAAAAATCTTCAAGTTAGGTAGGTACTATTAGTAGGGCGTCTCGCGAGCTCGCATTGGAAGGTATCATCACCTTGCCTATTTCGGCCGCTGTTGTACCATAAAAACAGCGATTTAGAACTGGCGTCTCTCTTAGCAATACATAGAGTAAATTCGAGGTCTTGAAGTCGACCAATATGACAGAAAGATTCCATTAGGTATATACAAATAAACATACAGAAATACAAACTAAGCTAATAAAAGGGTGCTGAAGTATGTCCAAGTAATATCGCTTAATTAAAAAGTTAAGATACGTCATAAGGCGTAGAAAAAGATAACGATAGCCGAAATATAATGAAAATTGTAAATTAATACTCTACTGATTGAATTGGAACGATTCTTGAAAATAAAGACACGATGTTAGTAATAGTGGACGCGTTAATAATTAAAAAAACATGTTCTGTAATGTTTTTTGCATTACGTATAATGGAACATACTTAATTACTGATATTCGCACTAATTCGCAGTCCCGATAGAACACTGGGCGTGTGGTCCAGCTTCCTTTGCATTAAATCGCGTGGTTACGAAATTTATGCTCACTCTAACGACAAATATTTAATATTGACGAGTATTGTATCGTAGACACCGTGTACGTATATCGACGTACAGGTATTTATTTTGTCGCAAAAAAAAAAGATTAAATTAATGCCAATCACGAAATATACCGGTGAAATGGTAACAATTAATGAATTATCTACATTATGTTTTTCCCGTGTCAATGCTCTCGAAACTTAAGAAAACGATATTCTTATTAATGCATTAAGAATGTTAGGGTTATTGTATTCAACCTGATTATTTTCGTTAAACACGTAAACAATGCGCTGGCGTGCATCGTTTTGAGTTCGAAGACCATCGTAGGGTTGTCGTCCTCGTATCTATTGCTGTCTACCTACCTCAGGATCGTCCTGAATTCCACGCTCTTCTGGTTCAAAAATCTCATTGAGGTCGAGGACCTGCCCGTCAGTTCCGTAAGGTACAAAATTTTATTTTTTTCTAACGCGAGGGCACCGACGTCGTTACCTTGAGCTGCTCTGATACAACCTTCAATTTTAGTTCACCAATGTTAGCGGTCATTGAACCGGTCGACAGATAATGACTCGTATATTATTTTTCGATTAATTATCTTTTATAACATGTAGACACTTAGGTAGGTGGCTCCTATATTAGAACAAACAATTTTTTGCCGGACACGTTACTATTGTATCTTTTATTTAATTGAATATAAAATTAACTTGCGAATGTAGTAATACTTTAAGGGTCCCAACGTTTTTGTTGTAAAATTAAATTGCACAATTTTTTTAAGTGTGAACGCTTTGTTTGTTTCCGTATTTTTATTCAAAATTATGAATAAATCCACTTTCATTTCCCAGAAATCTTACAAAAACGCGATTTCCGTTACATATTTCACTCCAGGCCCCTCATGAATAAATAAAAAATTCAGATTTACGAAACAATGGACTGACAGGCATTTAGATGACCATTTTTGACGTAAACAACTCTTAATAGTGTTTGAAAGGTTATCCGGTTAATGTGAAACTTTTAAAAAACTTGTGAGGATTCCACGCAGCTGCTGATTATTACCACACCTACTTCTATCGAATTTCTTCTTGAAATGTTAAGTGATCAAAATAGGGCTATAACTCTGACCTATGCTATGTATTGCAAGTTCTATGGGTTGGATAATGATTGGATGACCGTACCAATGCTGATAGTTTTCTTGTGAGAGTTTCCCCTTTCTATTAATAATGTTTAGTTGCTTTGTACAACATTTTTTATCTGTGTTGCCAGTGTCCTACACAAACAATAATCAAGCTGATGTTTCCACTACGAAAACATTTTTTAAAAATAACAAAAACGGAACGTCGTTTTTTTTATTACGCGCCTCCACATTTTTTTCGACAAGTCACGACATTAAATTACGTGTCTATTAAAAGTTGTAATGTTCGTAAATAACATATTTTTATTGATCGATCGATAAGCTGCGTATTTATCGAGCATAATGATTTATTGTGTTAGTTTGGCGCCAAAATTCCGCGCAAAAACGAGCCCGACCGACCGTGACTCCGATCGACAAAAAAATAGAGTTAGAAGCACTCCAAGTACGTTCTACAACGATCTATAACATTTAAAAAAACATGAATAATTATACGCTGCCAGATAAATATATCATGTTGCCTTTCATAAAAGGTCGAACATGCAACTAGGTGCCCCAAAAAAAGACTATGCGTTTTGTGTTTCTATTTAATGGAATTTTAGTGTTTATAGATTCTAAATTCATATTTTTCAGTAGCTGTCGACTCTAGGAGATACGTACTTCCTATCATCAGTCAACTTTCCGCATGCTATTTGCCTCTGCCGTTCTTTGCGTATAGCCTAGAACAATATGTTTTCATTAATGAAAAAATGTTTTTTTTTTCTGAGTTATTGCGGATTTTTTATATAGATATAATAAATTTTTCCCTACCTAAGCCTTGAGAGGTTATTTCAGCGTAACCTTAACTAGTAGGCGAGCTCACGGGGCTCAAACCGGAGTGATGCTAACACTGACCCTAGCAAGAGCAGTGCTTCGCAGAATCTACCACCGAATCGGAAACGCGACCCACTGAGAAGATCCGGCGAGAAACTCAGTAGGTTGTGTCTATGGGTAATTCGCTCTTCGTCGCAAGCGACGGGTTCGACGAGGACGGTGACCGGAAATAATCAGAATCCGAACTGATGCACAGGAGTTCCAGTGTAGATTCCCTTAGGGTTTAATCCATAAGCAATCTAAGGCTTGCAGCTTTTTTGTAAGCCTAGGCATACCTGATGTTTAATGAGGCTACAATAAAAAACCATCTAACACATCAGACTAGTATCTAGTTTTCAAATCCTTGCCCTTCGCTGCCCGTACGTACAAAAGACCGCGCAAAAATATTAAGTGAACGTAAAGTCATAAATAAAGGACTATCAAAGAACCAACTGCACTTTATCACAAAATATTTGTTAAATTTATTGGATTTTACTGTAAAACTTAGGATTTGGTATATATATATTTTTTTATTGCTTAGATGGGTGGACGAGCTCACAGCCCACCTGGTGTTAAGTGGCTACTGGAGCCCATAGACATCTACAGCGTAAATGCGCCACCCACCTTGAGATAAAGTTCTAAGGTCTCAAGTATAGTTACAACAGCTGCCCTACCCTTCAAACCGAAACGCATTACTGCTTCACGGCAGAAATAGGCAGGGTGGTGGTAGCTACCCGCGTGGACTCACAAGAGGTCCTACCACCAGTAAATGTTACCACCAAGTATAGTTTCAAGTATCAGAAGCTCAGACGTAAACTTACCAAAAAACGTTTGAGTTGTTTTGTAAGCGTTCGACATTCTCCATAGTCATCGATGTAGCCCTTACACTTCTTGATACCGCGACCTAGGCCATAAGCTTCGATGCAGTTCATCAGATCCATTTCTTGTTTCCCACAACGGCCCAAAATCTGAAAATCTATCATACCACCCGTAATATCCGTGAACGGTGAACGGAAGAATGGAGAAATAGTGTCCATGATATCAATTAATTAAAATTATAGATATTTTATTTTAAATTCGAAAAAAATATATAAATCACGATTATATTTACTGATTGACAGGTAGCAATCGATAGTGGAAGGNAGATCCATTTCTTGTTTCCCACAACGGCCCAAAATCTGAAAATCTATCATACCACCCGTAATATCCGTGAACGGTGAACGGAAGAATGGAGAAATAGTGTCCATGATATCAATTAATTAAAATTATAGATATTTTATTTTAAATTCGAAAAAAATATATAAATCACGATTATATTTACTGATTGACAGGTAGCAATCGATAGTGGAAGGCATAGATTATACACTTAATATATGTGGAAGGTTTAATTCAAGTGAAAAGATTCTATTCAATGACGTTTTATATTTTTGTATTTCTTCTTTATTTATAATTGAAAAGTCACGTCAAAAAGGTTTATTGTTAACGACAACTCTAGCTTAATCTATAAAAGTTCATTGAAACGAAGAAAAAATGCTGCCGATCTAGTTCGGTGAATCTAGAATAACCCCTCGAGGTTACTAGAACAGATAAAAAAAAGCTGTCCAATAATTACATTTATCATTATTTTTGTAGTCTGCAGTGAACTAAATTTAAAAAATTAACTGCTACCTATCTGCCCTCAATTTCAACTTCAAGGTGATGATGCTGTCTGTGTTTTGCAGCGTATGTTCCTTTTTGTGAGTGGCTGAAGGATTATTTGAGTGTACGCGGCTCAACACAAACCGGGAGGAGTGGCGATTGCTCATAAACCCCGCATTAGAAGTAGAAATAGTTTGGAAGTCGTCGTGGCCTAAAGGATAACACGTCCGATGCATTCGTGTTGAAATGATGCAATGGTGTTCGAATCCCGCAGGCGAGTACCAATTTTTCTAATGAAATACGTACTCAACAAATGTTCACGATTGACTTCCACGGTGAAGGAATAACATCGTGTAATAAAAATGAAACCCACAAAATTATAATTTGCGTAATTACTGGTGGTAGGACCTCTTGTGAGTCCGCGCGGATAGGTACCAACGCCCTGCCTATTTCTGTCGTGAAGCAGTAATGCGTTTCGGTTTGAAGGGTGGGGCAGCCGTTGTAACTATACTGAGACTTTAGAACTTATATCTCAAGCTGGGTGGCGCGTCTACGTTGTAGATTTCTATGGGCTCCAGTAACCACTTAACACCAGGTGGGCTGTGAGCTCGTCCACCCATCTAAGCAATAAAAAAAAAAATATCACACCCCCGATCACCCACTTCGGCCAACCTATACCCCGGGCCAGGAAGGTCAAGTACAATCCCTATAATCCCGTTTTTGCAGGTTAGTCGACAGAGCTCCGTGGTTCACGGGAACCCCCTACTGTAACCGGGTGCTGACCCCGGGCGGAGATTGGACGTCGAGTGTAAGAGGTGCAGGGGAGTCGTTTAGTGCGGTAGGATCCTAAAACATCTTTGGGCCCGCAGTCTGCTCCCAATATCTGCAGGTCGTGAAGACCCACATAACACGCTCGCCGCCTAGGTGCGGGGACCTCGTAGGAGGCTCGGCCCCCGGCCCGAAAAAGAAAAGGCATAGTATATACTTACAATTAGTACTATATGTTATCAAATTATACAGGTAAATATTAAATAGTTTTATTTAAAGTGAATTAACAATTTAAAAATTGAAGGGTATAAGCATTTTAATTTTGCAGGATTTTAATATTAAGCACAGATTATAGTACTGTGAAGTAAGTATTTAACGCTCTAAATGAAGGTCTTGTAGACAAAAATAATTTATTGATTAAAGGATTTAGTTCAAGTAGAATACTATTTTGGAAAAAACAAACAACATGATTCTTAGGTTATTTATTTACAACAAATCCACTAAAAGCACAATTTGATTGAGTGCATTGAAACAATCTAATCTAGTAACTGTCCACACGGGGGCTCACATACTTTTCGTCGCCTGTAAGTTTTCCTTGAGAAATTTGTCTCTGCCTCTCGTGTCTTATTGCCTGCAAAGAAGAATAGATTTCGAAGAATTCCCTAACATCATCAAAAAACCAAAAGCAATTAGACCTGCAATCCACTATAATTCTTATAGCCTACATTTGTTTACTACTATAAGTCTATTTATTTTAATTAAATTTTATAAGTCATTGTGGCATAAATTATAAAATGTGAGAACTCATTTCATGGAATGTCGTCTTCAAATTTCATAGCTACCAATTTATCTAAGAGAATACATGTTCATAAACAACTTCTATTTTGAAGGTACAATTTTTTTAAGGTTTTACTTTTTAGTTGATTTTATTATTGAAGGGTTGGCCGTCCATTATCCTATTTTAGATTTCTAATGAGTAAAGAAGAGCTTAAGAAACCTAAGCACAGTATATATTGTTAAGGTTGGTAATCAGTTTATTTGTATGACCAGTCTTATGTTTAATGTTTGATGAGTAAAAGATAAACATTGTTTGAGTGAGAGTTCAAATGGCCTAAAGTTTCAGTATTATCATATGAGCAATGGCCACACATACTTATTTGTCTTCTACTTACCAAAAATCTCTTAAGTTGTTTGGTAAGAGTTGAGCATTCATGGTAATCGCCGAACAAATGAGCGCACTTGACCTTTCCTCGTTCCAAACCATAAGCTTCTAGACAATCCATGTATCTGGCTTCCTCTTTCTGGCAGCGACCCAGAAGTTGGTGGGAAATCATGCCACCAGTAACATCCGTAAACGGTGAGCGAAAGAACGGCGACAAAGACATGATGTTTTCTGAAATAAATGCATACAAACCTTTTTTGATTTTCATACACTTAGGTTAATAATTACGTAAACATTTTAGGTTCTGGTTTTGGTACATAAATGAACTGCGCCTCGATCATTATTTACTTCAGTAATATAAATATTCCTATCTAATATGTTCCAGAGTTACCTGAGCTTAACCCAAAATCTTAAAAATATTCAAAAACACTTAATTTAATTTATAAATTTTGATACCAGTGACTGTGACAATGTCACTTTTCTTCAAATTGTTTTGAGAAATTTAACAGGCAAAAGGAATGTACGTATATAAATTCTGCGAAACAAATAAGATGCAGTCAAATCAAATAGATAAAATTCGAAACAAATGTAATAATGGAATTGATTGAAACGAAGTGGAATGAAATGAATTGATTGTTAGATGATGGAAATTCACTGTGTGACTGCAACAGAAAGTTTTGTAGAACTCCAAAAGCGATGTGCAGATATTTTGTTTCAATTGAAACGAGAGACCAAAGTTTTAATTGTATTGTGTAATGGCTCCCCGCCATTTAAACTAGACATGAAACGATTCCAGACAAAATCAGGCATCAGTAAAAAGATTTAAAGTTAAAGAAGGTAAAATTAAAATACGATAAAAAAGAATACAAACAGTTTTTTTTTATATTTGGTATGTATTGTTTCTTCGAGTTTAAACGTGTTATAATGATGGTCCAAGAATTATTAATATGTGTAAAAGTGCATAAGTGTGGAGCAATCAAGCCAAACTGCAAGACTTGATCAAAACCAACTTCACAAGTTCTTTCAAATAGTGCATTGTACTCTTAGTAAATACCTATTATTTAACTGAAAGGTTATTTTATTTCGTCTTGCCTAACGTCTTGTTGCTTTATCACAACTCAACTCATTTATTTCTATATTATTTTAATATATGGTACATTATTTTATTTTATTACTTAATTCCATTTCACTTTTCAAATAACAAATACGGTTTCAGCTTTTGTTTCAAATATTTCAGTGTATGAGCTAGAATTTCTTTGCCTGTCCGATGAAAGAAAAGAAAAAAAGTGGATGTTTTTATTTTTTTCCTGATAGGTACCGTACAATGGGGTAAATAGGGACAAAATCGACCTTCAGATTGAATTTTAAAATAGTTCCAATTAAATAGTCACTGCTCAACCAAATAAATAAGTTGAGTCTAGAACGTACCTAGGTGATAAAAACCGTTACATTATTTTAATTATTCATTTTAAAGAAATAATCGGTAAAATAATGGCCGTCCCAATTTACCCAGCGTCCGGGAAAAATTGACACGGTTAAGGGTTCAATTGGGATATTTGTAAGGGTTGTCAACTCGCAGTACTGCGATATATAGGTATGTGCCATATAATTATTTATATGGACCGAAATGATGAATACAATCCATAATTTAAGCACAATACACAACATAGTGTAAATTAAGCTGGTTTCTATTCCGAAGCGATGTGACGTGAATGATTACCAACAATACAATGATCAAAAAAAGTATGTGCATGTTATATTTTCGAAAATTATTATTTAATTTCCTTAAAAATCACAACTCTGAAACAAAATCATAAAATAGAATAAAAAATAGAAAACAAAAGGACTGGAAATGCAATACAATTTTATTTAATCAACATTTTCAAAATGATCTTTGAGCAAGAGTAAGATATCAGGTGAATACGATAAAAAAACAGCTTTATCTGATTACTGCCAATAATAACAAAAATAAAAGAAATTCTTTCTAAGCTAAATAACTAAACTCAATTAATTCACTCACTCATAATTGGATATCTCGGATTTTTAATTAATGTTACATTTAAAATCTGAGGTCTGTTTTTATTTGTGTGTGTTCGTTGTGAATGTTAACAAAATCATGATTCGACGCGTGAATAGATTCTGAAATAACAAAAGTTTTGATTCGTTTGAGTTCTTTTAACTTTTAATTTTTTTTATTGCTATAAAGAACATACGACCGGGCAGATATTACAAGGTAAATGTCCCGAAAAAAAGTAATTATATATATACTTTTCTTTTACCTATAATACTTACATAAACTAACTGATAAACACATTAACCTTCTTTACATCACGCAATTAAGTGATAGTATAGGCTAAAAAATCTAATAAAAGATATCAGTGACAACCCTAACAAGCCATCCCTATTTTGTCATTTGGCGTTCCAATTTTGTGTTTTCTCGTCCCTAATTTTTCCAGTCTCGTTCCAAATTACCCTACATACGTCCCAATTTTCCCCAAAAAGAAAGGAAAAATATACATTTTTTATTTTGTCGAAATATTGTATTTAAAATAAGAATATTGCAACTTACCGTTTGTTGCGGTATTTCCAGGTGTATTAAAAACTTATATAAACTGTGATCTTATTGAAAAAACAACGATAATATTACTTTTTTTAAAAGTTCTTTAAGCTGTTTTAAAACGCTCTTTTCAACCACTATTTTAAATTTAATTTGACGAATTTTTGGGACCAACTAAACTCATGTTTAGTACTTCCACAGTTAACTTGGTTTTTCTTCTATACCTTGATAAATATTACCTTAAAGAAAATTAGGTAGATTCCGTGCTACGAGTACTTTGAGAATCTTCCGCAGGTTTGTCCCAATTTACCCCAGAATCCCAATTTACCCCATGTCATGGTACCTACGTGTAATCAAACTCTTTTAATACCAATACTTACATTAAACAATATTTGAACAAACTGATTACCTACGATTAATGATTAATTAACTTGATATTTATTATTCTTTATTGTACGACACATCTTTGCATTTGAATAATATCTATCCTCAATTAAAATGGAGCAATGGATAAGGGAAAATCTATCTACAATTTTGGATTTTGAAGTGCCTGACGATTTAATAAAGTTAGAATACAGGAATTATAAAATTATGTACATAAAAAAATTTGAATGTTATAAATCCATTTTATGTATTACTTTTTCTTGTTTTTTAGGTATGTTTCGTCAATAGATAATGAAGTAGATTTAACTGAATACATGAAAACTTTGATTGACTTCAATAATTCTGAACATAAAAACTTTTTCTCCGAATTCATAAGGCTGAAGTTTCCTATTAAAGGTCATGTACATTTTTTTATTAATGTATAAAAGCTGATTTAATGACCCAGCAACCAAATATTTATTTATTTATTAAAAAAAATATTAATTCACCAAGCCATCACAGATCTAACTACACAAATTTACACAATCACTACACATATACACAAATAAAGGGGTCACTTTGTTTAATTTTCATTTTGCAATTCTGCCAATATAATAAACAAGTCAGACAATTACATTTTGTAGCTATTAGCATGTAGTGAGACTATTCGTATTGCAGTAAAACAATATACAATTCTTTGTAGCTTTTTTGGATTAGATATAACAATGGATGCAATAAAAAAATTTGAACGAATAAGTCACGGTTTTGTATTATGGAATATTTTTTATAAACAAATATAGGCGGGATATCTAAACAGCAAAAAAAGAAAATATCAAAAGGCAAGGTACAACAAGAGGTGATCGTCAAGGAAACAGTGCCTACACAAAGCGAGCCTGAAAGTAAAACTAAGAAGAAAACAAAGTATGTCAATCTATACTCACAAGAAGGGAAGAATGCCCAAGTTGTGATGCTCAAAGGTATACAAATAATAGCCAACTAAATAATAAAAAATTAAAACAATAAAAAAAGTAGTTTTGGACTCTAAATAAAATAATTACTACTTTTGTGTTACTACTTTTGTGAAATTTTAATTGTGTAGAACCAATAATAGTGGTATAACCCAGATGAATATATAATTGGATCCAGATTCAATACTCAGTTAAGAGTAATGTAAATTTTGGGGTCTATGTCGTTCTTGTCTAATATATGAAACCACAGTGGAGTATCTACTTTGTGGTTTCAATGAACTACAATTGCCACTCAAAACTATAGACTATACCATGAGTGTTTCTAATTATAGAAAAAACTAGAAAATAGTTATCATTTTATTTCAGGAAGACACCGCTGTGAATGTCAAGCTTCAAAACATGAGCTGATCAACAACTGCCTACAATGCGGACGAGTGGTCTGCAGGCAGGAAGGCTCCGGCCCCTGTCTGTTTTGTGGCAGCTTGGTAAAGTCTTCATAACACTTTGTTTTAACTTTTGTAAATTAATTTAATTGTAAAATGCGTGCATCCTTAATAGTTATTCCTTGTGGGTCTCTGGGGCGCATGCATGTGGGCAGAGCGATAGAGTCGCTGCGGTCCAACCACCAAGCTTGCAAAAAAAATCAGTCCTTTAGTCGATATAGACAAGTGTTTTATTGTGTTTACCTCAATTACTTATGTTTAAGTTCATTGTTGATTGCTTACTATAATTAAACTATGTATATGTTAAACTGTGATAGTGTTAATATGTTATAATTGTTATTTATAATAGCTGTTTTGCCAGATTTGTTGCTAGTTTGCGAATGGGGTTCATCATCGAGGTAAAATGTGAATAAAAGACTATTAGTTTAAGATGGGCAGCTCAGATCACACTTTTTATGAAGTGAAAACCCACAGACATCAATAATTTGAAGTACAGGCTCCGCCGTCCTCTGTAATGTGAAGCATTTATCATGTACCTATTATTTATTTACACATATGTATATATAAATCCGGTCAATTGTTTACAAATTTATTCGACTTCTCTTCAAAATGAATTTCTGAGTAACTGTACAAATGCTTAAAGTATTCAATCATTAATTTTGTTCAACTGGCTTTGTTTACTTCATTTTCTCCTACTATTTTAAATTCTGCTATTTAGAACGTTCGGTAATTTGACTTTTTCTCTGGACCTTTGAGTTTAGAATCATCAAGAGTTGTCTATTAGACCATGGATGCTTCCTTATGATCAGTCTTAGCTGCATTGTATAAAAATCTAGTGTTTAAAATTTCATGATATTTGGTGTCTCTTACTGGTACAGTTTTCAATTTGTAAATACATAATAATTTACGTAAAAAAATCTGTTAAATTTTCCAGGTTTGCACTCCAGAAGAACAAAGGGAGTTGAATGCCAAGACCAAAGCTAGTGCTAAATTGATGGAGTCGCTTATGGAGAAGAGTCGACCCAAGGGCTGGGAGGACGCTCTGGTGCATAGAAATAGACTTTTGGAATATGATAGGACAAGGTAGATTACATTTTTTTTGTGTTGTTGGTAAGACAACAACAAGAATAAGTTGGTTTCACAAGTCATCGTGGCATCGGTAAAAGTTAGCTCATATTTGTATGGAATGGGTACGTTTGCGTACGTTTGCCGCTAGGGGCGCTGTTCCAACTCCATACAAATTTGAGTTAACTTTTACGCGATCGAGAACGTTAAGAAACTCGTACAAGGCACACTGAGCACACCGCCTGCAATACGACGGTCGTTTCCAGTGAGCGTCGCACCCGCGTCACTGACGACGACAGTGACTACTTCAACGCGAACAGCGTGTGGCTCAGCTCAGAGGAGCGCGCCAAACTCGACAAGTACCAGCGGTCGCTGCACGAGAAGAAGCACGCGTCCAGACTGAACAAGAAGATGACCTTCGATTTCGCCGGTGAGTATGATGTCGAGTCGAAAATAAAAAAATAATATAATATTTAAAAAAAAAAAATTTAAAAAAAAGACATACCCGCTGAGTTTCTTACCAGTTCTTTTCAGGCAGGAGGCTAGTTTTTGTGAATTGGCGGTAGTTCTTTTTGACGTTCAACAAATATTTACTTTCATTTACGTTGAATTTTTTTTTTTTTCGAAGTGGGAGTCGAACCTACGACCCTCGGCTCAACAGTCAGAGGCCCTATAACTACTACACCACTGAGTTATATAATATGTAAGCCGGTCTTGAAAATATCATTAGCGCGATACAGGAATTTGTCAAATCTATTGTTTGTTTGTTTGACGGCTGTTGTCGGTGACCACGAAAACCCATTATGAATTCTGAACGTCAGAAATAATATAATGACAACAAAACGTAAAAATAGCTGATATAGTTGTTGCAAAGTACGAGCACGCGTGGCCTTTATTTGTAGTTGTAATCGTAAATATATATTTTTGTAAGTGTGTGTACCCGACGAAGCCGTCAGTAAGCTCCATTACTTACATTATACACTACATTGACGCGTATACAGATTGGTCACTCGCACAACTAAGGGCGGCGCGAAGTCGTACTTTGCAGCAACTAGGTATACTAAAAAGATACTAAGAAATACTAAGAAGATTGCTGTTAAACGGAATACAGGTTTAGTGATTTGTGAACTTTGGATGTCTTCAGGGCGGCAGATATTGGAAGACAAAACCATAGACCACGATGTGGACGAGGACAAGATCAGAGACATAACCGCGGGAGCACTGGCCGCCGGCGGGGCGCTGCAGACGCACGCGGCCGCCGCCGGGCCGCCGGACCGGGACGTGGCGCCCGGGGTCAACGCACCACTCTTACTGGTACTTGGGTAGACGAGCTCACGGCACACTCGGGGTCAAGTGGTCACCGTCACCCACCTACCATCCCTAAGGGTACTTACCATCCCTAGGAGTACCTACCATCCCTAGGGGTACCTACCATCCCTAGGGGCACCTACCATCCCTAGGGGTACCTACGATCCCTAGGGGTATAGGGATACCTATTTTTTACCATTTACATTATCTGTCTTTAAAGTAAGATAAAATTATGTACATATTAATTTTGTTAATAGTCGTCAAAACATAGGTAAAAAAAAAACTAAACTACGCTCTTTTGACACTATTTATTAGAAAAATACTGGTGATACCAAATGTTTAACTCAATTTTGAATATTTTTGGAAATAGTACACTTTTAATTCGAAAAGACGATTTGTGTTTCGTCACCCAAAATCCTTGCTATAAGTTATTAAACACAGCTCGATACGCGAGAAAGATAGAAAAAAATGAATGCTCTAAATACGGCAATACATTTGCAAACAAAATTAATCTATGAATTCTTATTTTACTGGTGGTAGGACCTCTTGTGAATCCACACGGGTAGGTACCACCACCCCTCCTATTTCTGCCGTGAAGCAGCATGCGTTTCGCCTTGAAGGGTGGGGCAGCCGTTGAGACCTTAGAACTTATATCTCAAGGTGGGTGGCGCATTTACGTTATAGGTGTCTATGGGCTCCAATAACCACTTAACACCAGGTGGGCTGTGAGCTCGTCCACTCACCTAAGCAATAAAAAAAATAGATTTTTTTTAAACATAACTCAAACATTAAACATAACACACAAACACAATTAAATAATTTAGTTTTTTTTTTAAATATAACACGCACATTAAACAGCACATACAAACACAATTAAAAAAAAATAGATTTTTTTTAAACATAACTCAAACATTAAACATAACACACAAACACAATTAAAAAAATTTAGTTTTTTTTTAAATATAACACGCACATTAAACAGCACATACAAACACAATTAAAAAAAAATAGATTTTTTTTATGGCACATTTCTGTATGTCACCGAAAACCCTTGCTTATTAAACACAGCTCGGTACGCGAGACAGATAGAAAAAAATTATACTTTAAATAAGGCAATATATATTTGCAAACAAAATCTCCAAATCTATGAATTCTTATATTTTCAGTTCGATCCGTCAGTGGAAAATGAGGATTATGCGAATGTTGTTCGAGCCAACGGGTTCTCCCAGATGTCTCGTATACAAGACGCAGAGTTGCAGGAGATGAGCGACACCGGCAGGTGCCTCTCCATGCACCAGCCCTGGGCCTCGTTGCTCGTTGAAGGCATCAAACTGTAAGCGTAACTGTAAAAACTGTGTGCTTAGTGCGAGTTTCTTAACGTTCTCGATTGCGTAAAAGTTAACCCAATTTTGTATGCAGTATATATGAGTCGACTATTATCAAAGCCGGCAATCTGACTTTTGGACAATGATTGGTAAATCAGAAAAACGAATTATTGACTTTGTATTCCATTGGCAGTCATAAAACTCTTCGGAACGACATCTTAGATAAATAACAGGTTAACTATTAACCTTTATTTAATGCAGGTTTTGAACCGTATTCTTTGAAGGAGACGATTATATTCAAATCAATCTGTATTGACATATCAATAACATTTTTTTGTCCAAATGCACAGATTGCCACATTTGATAATAGACGACTCATATAAACGATCCCATTCCATACAAATATGAGCTAACTTTTACGTTACGAGAACGTTAAAAAACTCGCACTAAGCACATATTATAATGCATCTACAAACTAAAAATGTCGGATCAAATACAGTGTGAAATTTCACTAAGGAATAAGACACTAAAATCGGATATTACAACGTAAGATGAAAAAAAAATATATTTTTTTTTAACATTAGAATGGATTTGCAAAAATGTTATATGAACATTGATTAAATGTAAGTGTAGAATTTTTGCAAAACTCAAATATAGCTTTTTAAATATTTATCTATATGTGTACAACATGATATTCATTACTAGAGACCCGCCCTCGCTTCGCTTCGGAAACTGTAATTTATTATTGATTTCTCCACTATTTAATGGATGTTATTATACATATAAACCTTCCTCATCAAACCGCATCAAAATCCATTGCGTAGTTTTAAAAATTTAAACATACCATAGGGATATAGGAATAGAGAAAACGACTTTGTTTTATACTATGTAGTGATTCAACACAGTAATTACTACGTCAAGGTCACAGCAAGTCGTGTTAGACGTCGTGACGTCACAAGCAAACATAACCTCAGAATTTGACATTTGTTAACATGTGTTCATGGTCATTCATATTGTCGTCAATAGATGTCGCTGAACAATCTTGAACTGTTTTCTGAATCGCGGTGACGAGCTTCTCAATAGTTGAATGACTAGTTTGGTTCAACGGAATTATGGCAAGACCTTACTTCATAGGATCATTTCTATAGTAAGCTCTTACCGAGAACTTCACACTACGTGAATGATCGACAACCACGATGAGGAGGTGTGGCGCGGCACCTTGAGCGTGAGGCGGGCGGTGGTAGTTCTACCATCAGCCTTCGATGATCGTTCGATCCCCTTCACGGGGGAGAGTGGGGTGTTGTCGCTGTCTGAGTGGTTGCTTTTGAACCCCTTATTAAATTATTTCAATAATCCATTTAAGTCAGCTGGATCTCCGACTCATACTGGCAAACAGCCAAACACAACCAGATCCGGATTCTGGATTATGAGTCGACTATTATCAAAGCCGGCAATGTGACTTTTGGATAATTTTTGGTAAATCAGAAAAACGAATTTTTGACTTTGTATTCCATTGGCAGTCACAAAACTCTTCTGAACGACATCTTAGATAAATAACAGGTTAACTATTAACCTTTATTTAATGCAGGTTTTGAACTGTTGAAGGAGACGATTATATTCAAATCAATCTGTATTGAAATATCAATAATTTTTTTTTGTCCAAATGCACAGATTGCCACCTTTGATAATAGACGACTCTTATATTTTTTATAAATTTAGTTTCCCCAAGTAAATAAATTTGTATTTGTAAATTGTCTTGTTAAATGTTGCATTTAGATTATTAATTGCAACTGGTTTATTTAGTGTTTTTTTATATATCGTACAAAGAACAAAGCTAACATTAAAAAATGCATTGCGATATTAAAAGTAGTTCACTTGCTGAAATAAATGATCACAAAAATAATAAATTACATAAATTTTATTTATTTGTTTATTACTGAAATAATACCAGATTTTTTCCGTGACGGAATTCGCGTAGTGTATGTGCAAATATTTCGGTTTATACTTAGACAGTTGCGCCGTGATTATTTTCCCAACCTATTCGTTATCATGTAGGCAGACGAGCATACGGCCCAGCTGATGGTGAGTGGTTACCGTCGCCCATGGACTTCGGCAAGGGCAGAGCCAAACCGCTGCCTACTGCAACTGAGTTCGATGAGAACGGTGACCGCTGCTTGAGGTACTTAAAAGCGCCGTTAGTGGATCGGGGGATCCGTAACGACGTGCTTAGGGCGACGTTGACTGCTTACCATTCGGTCCACAGGATCTGGAATGATGTTAATTTAGTGCTTCTTCAGACTTAAATCTGCAACAGCGGTTGTTTCTTAATCGTTTTTCATCAGTGAAAAAGTATAAATATTGGTAAATTATACTAAAGCCGCGGGCCATAGCTTCTCGGGCTCTTCAAAAAGAGTCCACTGAAAGAATCTCAGTAAACAAACATCATTTTACTGAGATTATGTTTCATATAATTTCATCTAAATTGATTAAAGTCTCAAAATTAATCAACTTCGTATCATTTTTCATCTTATAACAGAATTTATGAAGAAAATATAAGATTTTTGGTAGGACCTCTTGTGAGTCCCTTCGGGTAGGTACCACCACCCTGCCTATTTCTGCCGTGAAGCAGTAATGCGTTTCGGTTTGAAGGGTGGGGCGGCCGTTGAAACTATATTTAGAACTCATATCTCAAGGTGGGTGGTGGCATTTACGTTGTAGATGTATATGAGCTCCAGTGACCACTTAACACCAGGTGGGGGGCTCGTCCACCCATCTATGCAATAAAAAAAATACAAACTTGTCTTAAAGGTTATCAGGCCAGAAAATCTCAAAAATAATAATATGCACATATTTAAACTCCTCGTCTTCAAACAGCCACGAAGGTCGTACATGGTACACGAGCCACCGAGGGAGGCTGTGGGTCGCCGCCACGGTGAAGCCCCCAGACCAGGACGTCATCAAGGCGCTGGAGAACCAGTACAGGGTCCTGTATCCAGGTAAACCTTAGCGATAGTGAAGGAACGCTACTTATTTCATACTGTCGATTTATGTGTATATGTATGTAAGTCTTATATGTATCTAATGTATATCTGTAAATATTATTGTTGATAATAGAACAGCGCAAATATTATAGCTGTATTTTCATTAGAATTACTCTAGATAGTACGGTTGTTGCCTAGAATGGCTTTTATATCTGCCTGTGGATTATTTTTTAATGTTTCCGATGGATGGATGAATGAATGAATGAATTCCGATGAATGGCGATGGATGAATTAGGCGATGATGTTGTGATTTGGTCATGATGGATGGTAAAATGATAAAGAGATGATGTAATGGTGGTGGTTAGATGATTTGATGGTTATGGGCTTAAGAAACACACTTAGTAGGTGGATTCATCCCTTTTTTTTATACGACCGCTGCTATGACATTGCGTGCAGAAAAATTTGGATACAGATAATTGATACAGCGTAGAAGATATAATATAGATGCTATAAGGGGGGGGGGGGTCGCGACGCCGCCGTCGAGGGTGGAGGGAGGGTCTGCCTTGTAAGACACACACATAAACAAGCACACATACAATAACAAATATCAATTGTGCTCCAATTTGCAATAAAATATTTTCTTTCCCCCCTCTTCCTCTCTCCACCTCTCCCCCTTTTCCTCTCCTCGCCCCCTCTCTCTTTAAACGTATTTCTATTAGACAAAGCCGATAGCACAACCTAAACCCTCGCAATGAATTAACAATGTAGTAAATGCAACATGAAAAAGAGTCAATTTTTTAAGGCCACTCCACCGGACGAATAGCTAAAAAGAACGCAAAGACTTCAAACTTTGAAAATAAACTTTCATATTTCGTGTTTATAGAAAAGCAATTGCAATTCCCCTCGTTTTACCCGACTGGATGTCTGCTGGGCTGCGTCAACGTCGACGACTGCCTGCCCCAGGAGGAGTATCGGAAGATGTAAGTCGTCCGAAGCTAATCAAAACCATTCGGCTTATATAATTTATTAAAACAAACCCTGAAAATACAGTATTTTTAGGGACATATCGCACCTTTAGAACTGAGGTGGCTTAATCCAAAATTCGTTCGTGTTTTTTGTTTGATAAACGCCAAAAATGTAATTGATGAATTGTAATTTTTCAGTTTCGGTTTTTTTACTTTAAGTCATAAAAGATTAAGGCTTTTAATATTTAAAAGAGACTGAATGTGCACTTTGTCCTATTGTAAGGCTAAAATTTAAATTTTTTTTTTGAATTTAAAAAAATTTATTTTATAATCTTATAGAGTACATTTTTTTTTATTGCTTAGGTGGGTGGACGAGCTCACAGCCCACCTGGTGTTAAGTGGTTACCGGAGCCCATAGACATCTTCAACGCAAATGCGCCACCCACCTTGAGACATAAGTTCTAAAGTCTCAGTATTACAACGACTGCCCCACCCTTCAAACCGAAACACATTACTGCTTCACGGCAGAAATAGGCAGGGTGGTGGTGCCTACCCGCGCGGACCACAAGAGGTCCTACCACCAGTAATATATATATGTTCAGGTACCCGGAAGGTGAGAGCGACAGTCCGTACGTGTTTATTTGCTCTAATCCTGTCAGCCTGAGGCTTCGGTTTCCGATCAAAGGACAACATAAAATATGTAAGCTTTTTTTTTTTTTGTTTGGACTTGGGATGTCCATATTTAGGACGTAATTATAGAAAAATATAATTTAAAGAATTGTCCATTACATAAAGAAATGATAATAATAAAAATCTAATTTGGTTGTTGAAAAATGGCTACAGATGACGCGCGACACGTTCCTACAAACCGATCTTTCATATTGTTATATTCCAGTGATGTCACCAACTGATTTCAAAATTCAATTTTGGTAAATTTGTAAGTTGAATTACCAAGGTTTTAGGCCGACAGAGTTTAAACAAATAATTTATCTCTTCAACTTATTTATTCGTTTTACAGATCAACTAGAAAAAACAATTCATCAAGCCGCAATGAAATGTATTCAAAAAATGTCCAAAATACAAGCCAACGCAGCTTAAATCTCTTATTTATATTTATATATATTAAAATCCCCAACAATGTTTCCAGAATTATTTCAATGTTATTTTTAATAGAGAAAATAAATAATATAATACCATTATGAGAAAATAGTTTTATTTACACACATTAAAAACTAAAAATATAAATATTGAATTTACATCTTCTCGTAGCTAACCTATGCTAAAACATTCTAATGATAAGATTTTAATGTTTCTAAAATTTGAAATTAACAACAGTACCTACATTTAAACAAATTTGAAATATAATAAATAATTAAAATTAAAAGCTATGATGCAAATGAGACATTCAATAACTGTTTATCATAATTCATAATCACATACAAAACACACATGAGGCTATAATAGTTTTTAATAGACCACTAGTTTGAAAGTATCAAAAATACAGTAATATATTTCATGTAGAAAAACAGCCAAGATTTAGGAATATTTGGCGACAGAAAACCTTTTAAGAAGGTTTCTATACATACAGCATAATATGCCCTAGTTTGGCCATAATATGACCATAATTTATGTTCTAGTTTGGCCACAATATGCCCCTAGTTTGGCCATAATATGCTCTAATTTGCGAGTTAAGAACTTGCGTAATATTTATAACGAATTAATATTATTATTTCATCAGTAAAGTAACTTGTGTTTGGAAATATTTTGAAACCGTTTTTACTTCTCTTAAGAGTCCACTTTTAGCAGCAGATAGCGTGTTTTGGGTAATTAAAAAATAGTGAGATATATTGCCGAATAAATGTGCACTGCTGCAGTCCTTGCGATGAATCTTTGGAAAACACAAACCTTCTATACAAACACTGTTTTAAATTATATTTTTAAAACTTCAGTACATCTTGGTTTTTAGGAAGACAGAAATACAAATCAAATTGAAGATAATGATGCATATTTTCACGAGTTTATAAACTTACTTAAAAAACTACAAAGTAATAATAGCCCATTTCAATAGCTTTGGCAGAAAAAAGGTTTTGGTATAAAATCACTGATTATGTTTAGGAGTCTTTCTTTTGATTTAATTGTGGAAAGAATGCTTCTATGGGCAGAATTGGATCGTCGGTCGCTATGGTGAAATAATTCGGTATTCTTCTACTGTTTGTTCCCAATGTTTTGAACATACCCGGTTTATTGTAATCTTTACTAGCGGCTAAAGTTAAGTCTGAGACTCTTTTTGAGTGTTCGAACAGATTTTCAACATTTTCATGATGCTTTTTGTCGGCTATTTTCATAATAGCACTCTCGGATCTCGTTCTCTCTGATGTGATTTCATTTTTAACTTCGTAAGGTGTAGTTTCGGTCACAGCAAAGTCCTGTACGGACTCTCCGATTTCTGAATCTTTGATTTTCTTTCTCAGAGGTCTTCTGTGGTGGACCGTACTTTGTTGACTCGTAGTTTCAGTGGTTTCTTCTGTCGGACGGGGTCTGCGGAGACCGTTGCGAATGCGAGCTGAAATTTTCGGCGAAGTCGACTCAACTTCATCAGCTGACGTAGTGTGCCTCTGTCTAGAGTGCTGTCGAATTGAATGAATCTCTTTCTCCTTTTCTTCGTTTAAGTCAGTTTCAGGCTTGTGTCTCGGGTCTTTGGGAGTAAATCTCTTCTTTTCAGTTGTAGTTTCACTTTCAGTGTTAAGGTTTTCATTGTAGGGTACTCTTCTATGAGGGTATCTCAATTTTGGTGTATTTTCAACAGGCTTTTCTGTAGTGCTTGTTGTAGATCCCATTCTGTTTCTATAGTCTTTGACGCTGAATTTAGGACGATTATATTTGTTCCTGAGTCTAGGTCTTTGACCATTTCCAACGACAGAAGTAGTATCTGGACGAATCGTAGTAGTGACTTCGCCGTTTGTATCGAATTCACTAGACTGTTCAGTTGTAGTTTCTCTATAACGTTGATTCGTAACTGGTTCTAATTTAGCTTCGATGGGCTTGACGTCTTTATGGAATGAAAACTCTTGAACATTTTTCACAGAGTTTTTGTATGAATCGTTTATGCTCACAGCAACGTCGCTAGTAGGAGTATCTTTTTCATCCTGCTTGTGACTATAATCCGGTATTTCGTACACAGACGGTGTAAGCTTGGGAAATTGTGGACGACTTGTAATCTTCATAATTGACGATTCTTTACTTGAGTCCTCCTTGACTGGTACAGATGTTGTTGTTTCTGGTCTTTCAGTAGTGGTGATTGGTCGGCGGTGTACTAATTTCTTTTTTATTAAGCCTGGTACCGTGGGAGTGATTGTAGGTAAACCGCTTGTAGTTGAATCGGTTGTTACAGTCGGGGTAGTGTTCGGTTGATATGTCGGTCTGATTCTTGGCCTAATTGTGTGAACCTCGTCAACTTCAGTAGTTTGCGGAATCTCACTAGTTTGAATATTAGGTCGAGTGCTGATTTCTTCCTTCGATCTACTGCCAATAGGACGGCGTCTCCTTATCTTATTTCTTTTACGAATTCTGTCTTTGTCAAGGGGCTCTGAAGAACTAGGTCGTTTGAAATGGCGGTTAGGAGGTAGTGTAGGCAATGTTTCTAATGGTATTCCATTGATATCTTTGCTCGACGAAGTACTTGTTTCGACAGAAACGGATACTCTAGTTGCGTCGGATGGATTTTTCGTTCGTTTCGCGTTTTGTTCATTGTAAGCAGGTGTAGATACTCTGTAGTAATAATCTTTGAGCTTATGTTTTCCGATTGGCTCAAAGTCATCGCCTAGCGGTCGTCTACTTTGAGACTCAACTTGTCCGTCATAATTGAAAAAGTGTTCCAAACTCTTATCGGGCTGATTCTCAATGGCATACTCATCGGGAAGTTGAGGTAATGGCGTTGTTGTTGGTTTGGTATAGACACCATCGTAATCCTCTTTATTAAACGACTGCTCAGTGGACTTAATGTCGTTATTCGCGTACGATGGAGACGTCAAAGTCCAACTTGTTGATGACGAATGGGTGTTTACTTCTGGCTCCGTGGTTTCAATAACCTCGTACGTAGGTCGGCGGGGAGAATTCGAAATAGCTTGGGATTCTACTTTTTGGATCTCATATTGATTAGAATGCTGGTTGACACTAGAAGCGACATTGTCATTTACTTTCTGTTTCTTCTGTTCGTAATTGTAATTAGCGTTCTGTTGGTCGAAATAGTTTTGTAATTGTGACGCTTGTTGCGGGGGGAAGCTGTACTCGTAAAAAGCGTTTGCAGTCGTTGTAGTTTGCACAGGATTGTATGTGGTTACTTTATTAAAGTCTGTCGCATAGTTTTTGCTAAATGGATCTTGAGGGCTTGGCTTAAATGAATCTTTTGCTCCGGCGTTGGGATCTATCTTAGGTGCCGTCGCTACTTTCGAGTTTGGCGGAGGTGTAACCTTGTAATCGGCTAAGGTTGAAACAAAGTAATTGTTATTAAAATTGGCCGTAGTTTGAAGTCTTGGTGTTGTTGAGATAAACTGGTTGGGTGTTGATTTGTAATTCGGATTGTAACTGAATGAATTGAAGATTGTCTGTTTTTGTGTTTGAGCAGGTGATAACGTTTGTTTCGTGTTGGGGTATACTGGATCATGACCCTTGTAGGTTTGGATACCAAAATTTCCGAAGGCACCTGAAAACAATACATTTATTTATTGTATACAGATTGTATGTATGTATTGTATACAACATGTATAATATAAAATATATATGATAATGTTACGCCAGTAAGAGAAGTGTTCCTTAAGTGTTCTAACTATTAAATACAGTTTTAATTTATACTTCGGTGAAAGCTATATTTATTCCGAGCCCCAGCGAGCAACAATAACAAAATGTTGAGTTCATTATTCACCCAAAAAAAATTATTTTTTGTATAGCTTTGATGGATGGACGAGTTCACAGCCCACCTGGTGTTAAGTGGTTACTGGAGCCCATAGACATCTACAACGTAAATGCGCCACCCACCTTGAGATATAAGTTCTAAAATCTCAGTATAGTTACAACGGCTGCCCCACCGTTCAAACCGAAACGCATTACTGCTTCACGGCAGAAATAGGCAGGGCGGTGGTACCTACCCGTGCGGACTCACAAGGGGTCCTACCACCAGTAATTACGCAAATTATAATTTTGCGGGTTTGATTTTTATTACACGATGCTATACTTTCAACGTGGAACTCAATCGTGAACATTTATTAAGTACTTGAATCTTACCTAATATACTGTGCGGTAATGCAGCGTCTTGGAATGTGTACTGAGGGAAGTGATTGAACGTTTGAGGGCCGAAGTTCTGCTGCTGTGCTGTCTTCACTTGCTGACTGACCGATTGAGAAGCTGCGTTCGTATCTGGCAGCTTATACACTTCAGGTTTGAAGATTTCCATTGACGCCGCCTGAGAATTCTTAACGACGTTCGGGCTCACATAATCGTTTATCGGTTTCCCGAATATATCCGTGGGCTTCGGTGTTTGGTACTGGCCGAAATAATTAGGTTGGAGGCTAGTCAGCTGTTGCAACGCATTGTTCTGAGCCTGTTGCTTGAACTNTGTGTTCGTATCTGGCAGCTTATACACTTCAGGTTTGAAGATTTCCATTGACGCCGCCTGAGAATTCTTAACGACGTTCGGGCTCACATAATCGTTTATCGGTTTCCCGAATATATCCGTGGGCTTCGGTGTTTGGTACTGGCCGAAATAATTAGGTTGGAGGCTAGTCAGCTGTTGCAACGCATTGTTCTGAGCCTGTTGCTTGAACTTCGTCGGATATTTGGAAAACACCGGTCGCGCGAATGGATTGTGAGGATTCCTGATATAAGACGTATCGAGGGGAATGTTCTGGATGTATTTGTAAGAGAGTCCGTTGCTTAAAACGTAAGGGTTGTGATAGGAATTGATTGGTTGGTTGACGTGAGGAGATTGTGTGGCTACAGTTCTCAATGTCGTTGGACGGTATGACTGTGCGATCGAAGATAGCTTTGTCACGTCTCTGGCTGGTAGCGGTCTTGCAGACGATTGATAGTCCAACACAGGCACCGGTATTTTGTAAGAAGGCGCGTGGACCGGACCACCGAATGAGTAAACTATTCCACCGGATCCCACTACCGGTCTCCAGCCACTTTTCGATATGGGCGCAGTCTGAAAATTGAAATATTAATTGTTCTGTTAAAACAAAAAGCTTGAGTGCACCATAGAGTGTGGATATTTGAGATACGGCACTAAGAATTGCTAATTTAACCGTTACACGTTACACACACAAAAACGGTTGAGACTGGATGATTTTTTTTTATATTTCGTTTGATTTATTCACATTTACTCAATTAATTACATACAGCAACAAAACCAAACACTTTCACAACTCTTTCAAGGGTATTTTATCGCCTATGGGTGTCAAAAGTCAAATAAGGCTGGAGTGCTAGATTTTTTTTATTGCTTATATGCCTGGACGAGCTTATAGCCCACCTGGTGTTAAGTGGTTACTGGAGCCCATAGACATGTACAACATAAATGCGCCACCCACCTTGAGATATAGTTCTAAGTTCTCAGTATAGTTACAACTACCCCACACTTTAGGAAATTCTAGATACTCGAAAATTATTGCCATACAACATACGTTTTGTTGATAATTCAACATTAAAATTTCTACTCGTGGTCTTTCTCGTAAATAAATACCACGTAATCGGATAATTTAAAGTTTAAATGAATAAATAGTTACCGCTTGAGTTGGCACAGAACGGCGATGGCCACAGCTGACTGCCAAGATCAGGGCCTGCAGCGCCGTGGCGGCTAACAACAGCCGCGCGCCTGTGGATCAAAAAGAATAAAACATACAACATGTAATTTGAGGTTTAATCTATACTAATATTATAAAGAGGAAAGATTTGTTTGTTTGTTTGTTTCGAATAGGCTCCGAAACTACTGGACCGATTTGAAAAACTCTTTTTCCATTAGAAACCGACATTGTCCCTGATTAACATAGGCTACTTTTTTAAATTTTATTTTTATTTATTTTTTTTGGTTTCATGTGTGTTTTAATGTTTCCGAAGCGAAGCGAGGGCGGGTCGCTAGTACAGAATATACAAAAAAGTTGCACTAGCCAGCTGCAAGCATGTAACTTGTAAGAAGACTCATTATTATTAATGATCTTTGCAGTGCACGCAGTGGAAGCTAATATTAATCAGCTGTTATTCGTTTTTTTTCCTACCCAAGCCCTCCTTGAGAGGCTATGCCAGCGTAACCGAGCGAGTAGGTGAGCTCACGGGGCTCAAACCTGACGACGTTGCTAACACTAACCCTAGCAATAGCAGTGCTTCGCAGAATTTACCACCGGATTGGAAACGCGACCCACTGAGACGATCCGGCGAGAAACTCAGTGGGCTGTGTCTGTGGGTTAATTTATTCGCCCTTTGTCACAAGCGACGGGTTCGACGAGAACAATGACCGGGAATCAACTGAGGATGGGAGTCGACTATCGTGTGAGATCCGGGGGCGGAAGCTGCAGCTCCTAATTCTCTGATTGGGGACGTAATATTAATAAAANATTGGAAACGCGACCCACTGAGACGATCCGGCGAGAAACTCAGTGGGCTGTGTCTGTGGGTTAATTTATTCGCCCTTTGTCACAAGCGACGGGTTCGACGAGAACAATGACCGGGAATCAACTGAGGATGGGAGTCGACTATCGTGTGAGATCCGGGGGCGGAAGCTGCAGCTCCTAATTCTCTGATTGGGGACGTAATATTAATAAAAAGTTATTAAATACAAACACATAATCATATCATCACAATTTCTGGCTACAATTTTAAAGAACTGTCATCTCACGGGTCGAATTGAGTTGATTGTACGAAATAATCGACTAAATTGAGTGTGATTAGGCGCGAGAAAGCGCATCCAATGGCGATTTCGTGAAAAAATAAAAGGTTATACACTTAATAACGGACCTATAATTTTGTGGTATTGAATAATATACAATAACGTCGTGATCAGAACTAATAATTGCTATCACTGTGTAACTGGTCGCTCAACTACTCAAACGACAAAGAGAAATTTAATAATTTTAGCTTAATATAATGTTAGAAATTTCAAATTTCGTCATTTTTAATACACGATGAATAGCTCACAGCCACACGAAAATAATAGATATTAAGGATATATAGGTATTAAGGACAAACCACTACTTCATTTTGATTTTCATTACGGCTCTATAGTGGCTAATTTAGGGATAATCTATAGTATAGAGCTATCTGTGATTCCAACGAGTGGACATTTAGGTATTAACCGCCAAAACAGAATGCGTACTGGTTTGTATAACATTAAGGTATTTGACGATTAATTCATGGTGAAATTCAATATAATCAATAATAATCAACCTACAACGAAGTAAAAGTTCACCAGAGGTTCCAGTATATGCATATACCTACCTATAGAATGCTCCAGTGTTTTGGGGCATTTAGCAGATCTCTTACAACCTGGAGAGACTCATAGTGACGGGTAAAGTGTTTGGAAATTATCTAGGGATCGGACCCAAAAAAGATGAAGTGATGAAGTGTCTAAGCTACTTTTTTTTATAGCTCAGAAGGTTGGACGAGCTCACAGCCCACAGGTGTTAAGTGGTTACTGGAGCCCATAGACATTACAAAGTAAATGCGGCACTCACCTTGAGATATAAGTTCTAAGGTCTCAGTATAGTTACAACGGCTACCCCAACCCTTCAAACCGAAACGCATTACTGCTTCACGGTAGAAATAGGCAGGGCGGTGGTACTTACCCGTGCGGACTCAAGACGTCCTACCACCTGGACACGAGACTGACCGACGCACTTCGCTGTGCCACTGACCGATTTAAGCGTCTACAGATCACACGGAAAGGTGTCAGGCGGGCGCGATTTTCGTAAAAAAAAAAACAAAATTAATACGTGACTGGCTATATATACGGTGTTGAAAAAAAACTAACAGAACATACCTGCAACTACACATGTAGAGCGGAACTAATATGTGACCTCGAATTTTGATTCTCACGCTTTTAATTTAGGTTTTATCTAACGGTTTTGCGTTGATCGAAAAGGTGAGTTCGACTCTTGATTTTATTTGCAAAATTACCCGGACAGTGGATACGAGTACCATTAGCTGACTCGACTTTTTTTGACAATGTTAAGTTGGTTATTCTTATGGTTGGTTAAGTTGTTTTTGTATACACACGTTTTGTACACTATAATTTTAGTGTTTATTAGCGTTGTCAGAGAAACATAATCTGAATGTCTGTACAGTATAAGAGAAAGAAAACAATGCGATTTTGGCTATTAATTTTTAAGTTCAGACAGAACTAAAGAATTCGTTTATATTTTCATCGGCTACTATAGTTTTGGTAGGTAGCAAATTTCCAAATACCGTTTTAGTTTGTGAAGCTATCAATCTCTGTTTCAAAGGCTGAAGCGATTGGTCTCCGTTTTTTAAATGAGTAAGTATTTTAGAGTCCAAACTGTAATGAACACCAGGCATCATCACGATCTCACTTTGTTGAAATTGTACGGCTGTAGAATAATGTGAATAAGACCCTGCCTATTTCTGCCGTGAAGCAGTAATGTGTTTCGGTTTGAAGGATGGGGCAGCCGTTGTAACTATACTTGAGACCTTAGAACTTATATCTCAAGGTGGATGGCGCATTTACGTTGTAGATGTCTATGGGCTCCACTAACAACTTAACACCAGGTGGGCTGTGAGTGAGCATGTCCACCAATATAAGCAATAAAAAAAGAAAAAGAAAATTCAGGAAAGGCAAATTTTAGTAGTGTGGCAAGTAAATTATAAATTGTGTTGCCAATAACACATATATATAAAAAAATATATAACACATATAAAATTTCGGTACGTTAAGTTTTACAATACATTCACTCGCGGGCGAAAACATTGAAATGCAAAGAGACAAAAGTTTCTATTGTGAATTTTCCATGGCACTAAATATGAAAAGTTCAAATGTCACAATAAAAAGGAAGTCATAGAAAATGTTCATTGTAGTTTCTCAACAACGCATTGTGGGAAAGTTAATAGTGTGTAATCTTGTGTAACAAGGCCGTAAATACCAACATTACGGCGACTTATCATTTACAATTCTCACATGCTCGACAAGAATTCGCAGTAACATAACGTGAATGCTGCGGTGATTTGTCTAGTAACCGGTTCCCATACTGAAAACAAGACATAATAAGTTAAAGCTGTTTATTTTACTGTCACTTCTATATTACGTGTTACTATACTCTATGGTCAACAAGTGAAGGAATAGGCAACCGGACGCTAATAATCTATACATATATACAAATAAATAAAATTGAAGTGTCTGTTTGTAATATTAAAAGTCCTTTTTACTATATGCATATTAATGTATATATGGTACATACAATAAAATAATATATTTTACAATTTTTGTCTTTTTTTTTTATTGCTTCGATGGGTGGACGAGCTCACAGCCCACCTGGTGTAAAGTGGTTACTGGAGCCCATAGACATCCACAACGTAAATGCGCCACCCACCTTGAGATACAAGTTCTAAGGTCTCATGTATAGTTACAACGGCTGCCCCACCCTTCAAACCAACTGTTTGTTCAGGCTAATGTCTGGAATGGCTGGACGGATTTTGAAGGGACTTTCACTGGCAGATAGCTGATGTAATGAGGAGTAACTTATGCTGCTTCTATTTTAGAAAAATATATTATAAAATAAAGTACTTTTTTGTTAAATTCCACGCGGACGAAGTCGCGGGCGCAGCTAATAAAACATAAAACTCGAGCATAAAAGTATAGCAAAACAATCTTATGACAAGTTTCGAAAAATATGAATGATTTTTATTTTAAATACAAGTAAATAAAACCTATAGGTTTTTCTTTGTTTTTCGCAATTCCTAGAAATACATAATGAAAGCAACTTTTTGAATCTATCGCATGTTTTATTGACATCATATTATTTCCAATGTTCCGAATATGTACTGCACAGACTTTTCGTAGGCAAAGATAAGTAATACTCGCGACGGTTTTTTTTTAGCGCTTTTAATAAATGATCTTTGGTTAGCTGGCGCTTTTTCGACTTCGAATGACGTTATATTATGTGGCCTAAAGGACCTTACGTTCGGTCGCGTTTTTTTTGAACCGCGCGGCTTTAAAAAAAAACACCATTTTTTTAAAGTTCAAAACACTCATTTGTACACAGGTAGGACGATGTTAAAATAACCCAATTATTGTTAAACATGTTACATTATTGTAAACATGTCTACATTTTAAGTATAGAAAAAGTGATGAGAAGAATGGAAACTCTTTAATAGTTCGGGAACTAGCAATATAATGTTCAACGGAGTTCGATCTAGCTTTCAAAATTGTCTAAACACATAGACAATGACTTTCCTGTATAACTTTTTTTTTACTTGACGAAGGTATCTACTCCTAACTGTTTTCCTTTGATTCTTACATGCTCTGATTCTAACCAACGTAACTGAGACACAGGTGTGATCGAATACTAATAAACGGTTAATTATAATCTCTATTTACATACAAGATTTATGTTGTGAGTGTTTCGTGGTACGACCAAGGGTTTATCGTTCGTTGAAGATTCACTTTTATTTCGTATATAGCAAGGTTCGTTTTCATTCGAACCGGGACGCGTGCTCTCTCGACCAAGTTAAGAGCGTAAAAATGTTGTATGTTTTCTCGAGAATAGCTTCAGTGAAACGTCGCCACGGTCCGCGGAGCAGCACGAAGCAGCGCGTTACCCGACCATACACCCAGGACCGTTCGAATTACTTCGAATACGCAACATTGTC